ATTTTAAAACAAACCAATCCCACCAAGGTGGTCATTCTTAAAACAGGCCTGATAGGACTAGGAACTGTAATTAATAATAATTGAAATTTCAAAGAAACTAAAGTTGAAAAGACGCGTCTGTGTCACTTGATAAGTAATACATGTAAAACACACAAATTCAAGAAATATAGATCATTTAAAGTAAAAAAAAAAGTCTCGTTGACGGCATTCTTGTAACGAATTTTGGAGGAGACAGACATTGCAAAGGAATAGCATCAACAATAGCAGCAGGATTGGAAGCCGCCGTGGGAGCTGCACCATTAATTCGTATAGCCGTGACCGATGCTGGAAACCTCGGTCCGGTCACGACAACAGCCACTTTAGAAAGGACTCTGGATATTCCGGATTGTTGTTCCATATGGTCGAAATGATTGTCTCTCATGGTTATGACAAGTGAAATATCAAATCACATCTTCTCCCAATGACACTCAAAACATTATGCATAGAACCATATGACCATCGTAAAACTCTTTCAGATATTTTTGATGATGGGGGCAGCGGAAACATGAATAATTAAAAAGTAAATCTAGAAAATTAAATAAAACCGGAGAATCTCACTGAGACATAGATTATAAATAGTTTCAAGAAAGATTATGTACCGTATGCGTGATAATGTTTGCACCATCATACAAATAAGGTTCCCGTTTCACCTGTGCATACAATGCCTTGTTTTTCTTTGCATGCACGTAACCTATAGCTCATACCGTAGTAGGCTGTGTATAAACGAAAATGATTTACTTAGTTTGACAGTTGCACCATGACGAAGTGGCAGCGTATTCGTGATTTGTCCCACGCGCAAATGTCGGAAAAAGACATTTCAATCGCCGTGGGAGTGTCCCGGTGGACCGTCAAAAGGATTTTAGACCGAGAAAAGAAAGGACAACTATCCGCGAAGGTGGCCACAGGTCGTCCGAGGTCAGCTCGGGTTCCGAGAGTTATCGCTGCTAACGAAAGGAAGATTCGGGTGAATCCAGTGCGTTCAATAAGGAACATGGCAAAGGAACACGGGATCAGTGACTTTACGGCACGGAAGATCGTAAAAGGAAGATTGCGACGCGAAGTTGAGGGCACGGAAAGAAAACTCACATGATTACCAACCACATCCGGGAGCTACGAGTCGAACGATGCAAGAAAATCTTGAACTTCCTTAAGCGAAAAAAATCCAGTAATCCTGTTCACCGACGAGAGCATGTTTACCGTCGATCCCTTATCAAATTCCAGAACCGACCGGTATATTAGTTCTCTTTCGGTAAAAGACGTGGCCGACGAGCACAAGAACGTGTATCTGACCAAGCATCCTGCTAGTGTTATGGTGTTTGGATTGGTGGCTTCCGATGGTAAAAAAAATGGACCCGGTGTTCATTTCAGAAGGCGACAAAGTCAACTCGGAGGTCTACATCGGAATTTTAAGTAAGTAAGTTCTTCCGTAGATCAAAGAACAGTACGGTCCGAAGCCAAATGTTGTATTTCAACTAGATGGGGCTCCGTGCCACACCTCGAACCACACTCAGAAGTGGTTGCAGGAACATCTTCCGTTCTGGGCGAAGGATAAGTGGCCGCCAACCAGCCCCGATCTTAATCCGCTGGATTACTCAATATGGCGCGTCATGAAGACCAAGGCCTGTTCTAAATGCCACCCGAGTACAGCAAGCCTCAGACAAACATTGACCCGTGCCTGGAGAGAAATGGATCCAGACTACATTATTAGAACCTGGCGTGCATTCCGGAAACGTGTGGAGGCCGTAATTGCAGCAAGTGGGAACTCGATCGATGATTAGCATAGTTTAAGACTCTGAGAAACATCCCCCTCTATCACGCATTATCACGCATACGGTATAATCCGAACAGAAATTTTCGATAATCCAAAAAGAATGGAAACGGCAACGTCATATTAATATGCTCAAATTGTGTGATTTGCCATAAAAAAAAGTAAACTAGTTTTATTCATGCATAATCTTGCTTAGAAAGTAGGATTTAGTTATGGAAATAACCTTTCCTATTAATTTATTATATTCTCGAAAACACAAATACCATCAAATTGGAAAACAAATACAAGTAAGTACTTGAATGATTGACATTTGAGCCTTAAATGACGTCTATTGACTATTTTTCTGTAATACTGCGTAGAGTTTCGTTATTATCGCCTCCCGATTCTTATTTGTGAACGAAGTCCGAGAATCAAGCATGGCAGGATTGGTGACAGTATTTTTGGGTGATACATAAATTATGTCACGCTCTAAAGGGTTTAATTTTTCTACAATTTTGCGTAACATAATAAATGCATGGCCCCTTTACTTCTCAGATACCTAACAAACCGAATTAATGACGCTTTATGAATGGCACTCTTTTATGTGTTATCCCAAGTAACATTGCAAGTTTTATCGAGGTTTTAAAGCATGCTACAACTCTAAATCATGTTCTCCAAAACCCTCATAAAACCAAAATTGTTACTTGGGATGGCTGATTGCAGACTAGTTCTACCGATACGCCAGTGTCGATTAGAGAGAACATATTTGCATGTACATTAAGTAGAACATTCCTATATCATGCTATATCATTGTTTTAATTGCTTCTATTTGAGTACATGTGAATCTTATGCCAACTCTGTAACCCCCCCTCTGGCGCCTCCTATTTTATAGAGATGAACTAGCCAACGGTTAAAAATCCCTCTTAAAGTAATGTATCACAATTATGAGAGCTTTTGAAAGGGGATGGATTTGAGGTGGGCGAAGCGATCACATCTAAAAAATCAGTTAGTAACCAGCTGTTATTAATTGAGAGCTTTATGATTTGTATATTGTGTAGCACTACTCTAAAGAGGTCCTTGAGTGGACGGGAAACCGAACCCATGCCTTTACTGACTGTTCGGGAGTGAGCCCAACAATTCAACCCTGGATTCTGTTGGTCACTCAAAGTAAATCACAACACCCCCCCCCCCCCTTCTTTCACTCACCTCACCCACTTTATCATCATCACGAACTCTACACTGTGGACTATGGCTACAGTACAGTGTGAGAGTATGGAGGCAATAGAGAGGACTCTCTATGCAATCGGAGGCCGATCGGAATTCGAAGACTAACCACACAGGCAAGGCCTGACAGGAAATCCAGTCCAAGGCTCAGTACGACAATTTTTAATGTGTTAAACGTTTCTGTAAATTTTGTATTATAGTCCGGTATTTTATTAATAAATATAGTATGTGTATACTAGTGTTGTGAATATTAATATAAGTGCTGCTTATTGCCTACTTTGAACGAAACCTCCAATTGGATTGACGACGAGACGGAATCCTAATGAATTCCTATCAACAAGAGAGCGAATACCTCAACACCCCAGCACCAGGAAACGTTCTTCCGCTGGCTACAATTCCCTTACTGTGTTGGAGGTCGGTCGGTTTTAACCCCAACACTGACTATGTCAGGCCTTTTCAACCTTTCTAACTTGCCTTTTAAAATGGCTGTATTCTAATGGCTGTTCAGTGAACATGTTTCATACTGCATTCTGTCTCATTCATTCTGGACAAAAATTCATAATGATGAATCAAATAACGCTAGAATGATATCATTGCTGAGATCCAGGGACCACTGGATCTCAGCAATGATACTAGGCTATACCGCTGGACTAGGCTATCAGAGACACCGACGTACACTACTGGTAATTGGTTTCTAAAAATGCACCATTAAATCGCATTTTTTAGCAGTTACAACTCAAACACAATGTTGGCCAGCTAGATTGATCAAAAACCCCTATGTGCGTCGGTCTCAGCTGTCGTTCGACCAGCTTCGGTGTAATTGCGCTTGAACGTGCTGCTGCTGAAGCAGTGGCGGTGAAGAGGACAAAGTTTTGTAGAATTAATCAAGTTTTCAGTTTTTTTTTTGCCGGTGCATATTCTTTTTTCATAGTACAGCCTGGATCGGAGGGAAATTTCATAATCGTGAGGAATCCAGGGTACGGGGCGTTCTATTATGTGTGTTTTTCTGACAGACTGCCGTCTGGAAGATACGGGCTTGGTACGGTGAAGGCGAAACGAGAAATGTTATTATAATGGGATTATGGATGGGAAAGCATGTAGTTGAGCCTTAATCTGCTCATTATTCTGGGGTTTATAACTTTTGCATGATAAGCGATTGAGCAGTGAGTGAAGATAGTGGAATAAAAATTATCGAGAAATTTGGTGCTGTGTGTCGTTCAGATTAGCGGGGTCTATGGTACCATTCATCATTTGAAAAAGTTCTCAAGTCGATTTGATTATAGTCACTATATTCATAGTCTAGCGGACAAAAAAGCCGGCAAACTGGAAACTTTGACTTTTGGAATATTAATTTGGCACCCTCTGAAAATGCTCAAGCTTTCACAGAACGTTTTCGTTTTACGCATCATTAACATATTTTATCTGCGCATTATCAATATCAATGACTAAAATTTGACATGCAATAGGAGGAAATGTTTAAAAAGAATATCGATCAACTTACACTTTTCAACGCATACCTACTATTTGCCAAATAGTCATTCTATCCGTTAAAAAAAACTATTTTTAAGCGGCGCCGGTGGTTTAGTGGTAAGCGTGATTACCTCTCACCCAAGCAGGCCAGGGTTCAATCCCAGTTGGCGCCGCCGGGATGTTCTGAGGCAAAACATCTCTGATCGCGTAAAATCTCCCCTCGTTTAATTAAACAGTTGGCATAAACATCGAAATCGTTTACAATATTGCATGCAATATTTCTAATTTAAGCGATATTGGTTTTAAAAGATCAAAATCCACCCAAAGAAAAATATGATAACCATATAAAGTTTTTAAGTTTAGCACAGAACATGAGAATTGAAAAAAATGTAACCGTTCAAGAAAAGAGTCGGGTGTATATTAATGAACAGATCAAAAATCATGTTTGCAACCTGCCCAATCTGAAACTACTGAAAACATCCAACTAACCACTGCCTTCCATCTCCATCTGCCATTTCAGAAATGTCGATCGCCCACCTCTCGTGGTTCCATCTCGAACCGCAGCCACCTGGCGGACTTGGACGAAGGCGATCTGTTCATGGAACTGATCCGAGACGTGGCCAACGAGCTGGACATCGACGTCCTGTGCCACAAGATTCTAGTCAACGTCAGCCTCCTGACGCATGCCGATCGTGGTTCACTATTTCTAGTCAAAGGCCCACCCAGTGGAAAGTACCTAGTCGCCAAGCTGTTCGACGTTACACAAAACACCCGTAAGTACCACCCACAACAACCCTGACCTGGTTTCTCATTTTGTTGTTTTTGTGCCCATCCATATTCCGATAAACGACATTTGTTTTTATGCTCGAAAAACCCACATCACATGCTGGTGGCGGCTGAGGTTGGTTTGCGTTGAGCTTGGAGAATGTGAAGCGGAGTTCAGAGGGGCGATTAATCATCAATTAGGGTAGTGTCGTTTACGTTTAGCAATGACCATCGTTGTCGTCGTCGTCGTCGTCTACTCTCTCGGTCAGCACATCAGGAGACATCAATATTTAATGCTGTGAACACGTAGGTTGTTCCAGTTTCACCAAAAACCATACGATGGCATGCAATGTGGAGAATGGGAAAGTCATTTTTCTTCGACTCTCCCGCAGTTTACGTGTGTTATTTATGTACTTCAGGATACAGTTTAGGCGGTGATGGAGTATGCGTATGTTGGCGAAAATAATTGATGTTTGCTCTGTTGTCAAGGATGAATGGCTATGACAAGTGAATTTAGTAACATTGATATTAGGAATACTCTGTGTTTCCTTCTGCCATTTATCCTGCTGTAATGATTTCCCGATTTTTCAGCTCTCGACGAAGCGGTTCGCCGGGCCAAACAGGACGAACTGATCATTCCCTTCGGCGTGGGCATCGCCGGTACGGTCGCTCAAACCAACGAAACCATCAACATCAAGGAAGCCTACAAGGACCCACGGTTCAACAGTGAGGTCGACCAGAAAACTGGCTACAAAACTCACATCATCCTATCGATGCCGATTTGCAACTACGAGGGGCATGTCATCGGTGTAGCGCAAATAATCAACAAGACTAATGGTAAGCTGCTTTCGACGACGTTCGTTGATGTGTGCTCCTAATGCAGCAAATCCTCCTCAACAGGGTCTCCCGAGTTCACCGAGCGGGATGTGGAAATCTTTCGTCGCTATCTGACCTTCTGCGGCATCGGGATTCAAAATGCTCAACTGTTCGAAATGTCCGTCCAGGAGTACCGCCGGAATCAGATCCTGCTGAACCTGGCGCGAAACATCTTCGCCGAACAGAACAACCTGGAGTGCTTGGTGACGAAGATCATGACCGAAGCACGCGAGTTGCTCAAATGTGAACGCTGCGCCGTGTTCCTGCTGGATCTGGACTGCTGCGAAGCGGTAAGCCTCTGAATCTCAAATACCAACTTTAAGCCAACCAAAATATTCATATGCATCTCTGTTCTATTTAACCAAACTGTCCCCCACCCCCTTTGAATGCGCAATACCAATCCTACCCGTAGAGTGCATGTTTAGATCTGGAAACTAATCAATATAGGTTCAAGGTAATTTCGGTCCGGTAATTCAATCAGAGCGGCACAAATGACACGCACTCACATTGTTTTTGATCTAACAGAAAGCACACTTTCACAAGCTCCAGCTGGGAAAGAGCAAATAGTTTTCACCACATTTAGCACCGTTTGTAGGTATCCGTTCCGGTATAGAGGTTTCGAGAGGGAGGGGGAGGTTATTGACTCACGAATTTGCAAGGCAGAGCACAAAACTGACCAACTTACGTTCTCCCTGGCATGTCCGGACCAGGCGGAGAAAAGGAGAGGTGCAAAAAGTTGGATTCCGCGTTTACCATTTTTGCGTGTTCATCAACATTAGCTGGACCATTTGGCATGGTATGTGATTACCGGGGATGTTTAGCGTAGCTCAGAAGAAAAACAGATCAGAAAGTTTTATGTTTCGCGGGTAGAGAGAAGTTAAGACAGGTACTGGTAAATGGTTGATGCTGCTTTCACTGGTATTTGTATTCGTACATGAACTTTTCCAATTATTCGCCATTGCCTTGTTGGGAAAGGAAATTATCAATGTTCTCTTTGAGTTTGTTTGCTAAGCTGCTACTAGTGTAATGCTCTAGCTCACTTCAAGCGAACGTATGAGAGGAAGAATTCCAGTCGGTGAAGTTACTACCGAAGCTATGCGCACACCCTCAAGATGCCACATCGGCTTCATCTGCTCTGTCAAATCGTGATAAATCATCTTTTGGTCGTCGATTACAATGTGGATGATTGATACGGATCTGACTCTCGCGATTCCAATACAGCTCAATGCTACTATTAACCAGAACCGGATCGAGAAAATATTTTTGCAATATTAACCCGGAAAGTACCAGGACGAACGAATTCGTTTCAACAAACTCGTTCTCAGCAATGCCTCATCCGATTTTTATAAACTTGGATTTTTATTCAAGGGGAATAGTTGAACTAACTTTTATTGTAGGTACCACCCCCTTAGAACCCTTCTCGTTTTTGGGGGATGTAAATATGTCTGTGTACTTTTGGTACTTTTTCAACCAGTTTGACCAAATGTTTTAAATTTTCACGCGAATCGGTTGTTTGGTGCAGCATCTTGTGGCATGTCAAATCATGTCAAATAGGTAGTATCAAGTGAATGGAGATGATTTGAAATGATTTTGGCCTCTTTTTCGGAACGCAGATCTGTGAATTCCTGTGAACGGTTTGTTGGGATATAATTACATTGAGGTTATGATATCATATCATGCCAAATTGTCATACACGACTGAGTCTAGTAAATAAACGAACTAGTTAAAAAAAATGACAAGCTATGATCAATGAAATCAGATTGTAGTGCATCTGATAACATATGGGCGTCTGGGATTCGAAATTCCGTTTCATAGATTCCGCAATACGATACGGTAAGGGGGATCTTGTAATCCGGTTCTTTAGGCCATAGTCATAATTGAATCATGCTGCATATCAAATCATAGGATATGCACATGAACGAATATTTCAAATAATTTCATTGTCATATAGACACATTGGCATCTGTTTGAAGGCTTACAGTATCTGGTTCCGTAAAGTCTGGATTATGACTATAAATGATATATTTGAAACTACTATATCGCGTGGTATGTAAAATCATGCATGTTTAACCGAGGTAAATATTATAAGGGGTGATGCATACATTCTGTCACACTCTAATTTTGTGTTAAGCAATGTATTAGGATCAGGAAAAAACGTGACAAACGGGGAGAGGGGGCTAGATCGTTAGATCGGGCCACTAGTGTCTACCCCAGTTCTTCTTATGACACCTCATAAGGCGATGTTAAATAACAGACACGAGAGTCCATCACCTTGCCGTAACCCCCTTCAATGGTTCAAAGGGACTTGAGAGTGTCCCTGATCGCGTCAGTTTATCCGGAGATCCGTACTCGTGCATAATCTGCCATAGCGTATCTCGATCGCTTGTGCCGTATGCGAATTTGAAATCGATGAACAAATGATGTGTGGCCTCGTTGTATTGGCGGTACTTCTGCAGAACCCGCCGAATTGCGAAAATTTGGTCCGTGGTAGCGCGGGCACCTATCCTTCCCGCCTGGTATTGCCCCACGAACTCTCTTGCAAATGGTGCCAGGCGGCGGCATAGAATTTGGAGAGTACCTTGTAGGCAGCGCTCAGCAGTGTAATCGCACGGTAGTTGCAGCAATCCAACTGGTCGCTCTTTTTGTAGATTGGGCATACGACCAGGACCCCACAAGGACACTTTCAATCGAAAATCGTCAAGTGACGATGAAGCAGTCAACCATCACTTTCAATTGAAAGTCATTCTGTCTTCTCTTCGAGCAGATCCCCGTCAACATCAACAGAACCACTTTCGATCAGTTTTCATGCTGTTTGTTTTGGCTTGACTAGTCTTCATTTCTTCTTTCATTGTCAAATGAAATGTTCATGGTTCATTTAAGCGTATGCACATAGATCTGTGCACGTGGATGTCAAATTTATCATTGTCGGATGGTTTGTTTACCAATCAATGTGGGTATTTTTTTAATCGGGATGAGGTTTAGAGATCGAAAATTGATATGTGACGCTATTTTTAAATCCAAGATGGTAGCTTCCAGTTTAAGAAAAAGTGTGAAATACTGTCAAATACTTGCCGCCGCTCACCATAGTCGTTCCGGAACTGTAGTCGGATGTGGAGAGGGGGTCTTCCAACCCAGTCACTATGGCGAGTATCCGCATGGTATTGTTAATGTTCATTCGCTGCCTGATGCTTCCTTGATTTCTAGGGAGAACAGACGTTCGATTGTAAGCCGCAAGCAGGACATCGTGATTTTCTTCCAAAACGCCGGCGGAATAAATTCTGATGTTGACGACTACCGGCTTGCTGTATCGGATCGTTGCTATGATGTGATTGTCCTATGCGAGACGTGGCTCGATTCGCGAACGCTTTCCAGCCAGGTGTTCGGATCCGATTATGAGGTTTTTCGTTGCGATCGGAATCCAAACAATAGCCGAAAATCTACTGGTGGTGGCGTTCTTGTGGCTGTCCGTTCCGGATTGGAGGCGAGAGCAATCGAAAATGAATCGTGGAACAGTGTGGAACAGGTTTGGACAGCCATTAAATTGGGCGATCGCACATTATTTTTGTGCGCATTGTACATGCCACCAGATCGAGTTCGTGATCTTGAACTCATCGAGACTCACTGTCAATCAGTCTTCACAGTAATGGAAAGAGCGACTCCAATTGATGAGCTATTCATTTTTGGGGACTTTAACCTAGCAGGCGTTTCGTGGAGACCATCCCATAGCGGCTTCCTCTATCCAGATCCAGAACGTTCTGTATTTCATGCAGGAGCTATCGGCCTTCTCGATAACTATAGCGTAGCAACGCTTTCTCAAATTAACTACGTAGTCAACGAGAACAACCGTAGTTTGGACCTCTGCTTCGTGAGCACTCAGGACAATGCTCGGTTCATTTCCACAGCACCTTGTCCACTAGTTAAGCTTGTTCCGCACCACCCTCCTCTGATTGTCACTGTTGAGGACAATCTCGTTCGTGATTTCGATAGTCTTCCTGCTGCGGTTTCTTATGACTTTCGAAAGACCGACCATCGAAGCATTGTAGATGTGTTGTCAAACATGGACTGGGAGAACATTCTCGATCATGACGACGTTGAGGCCACTGCGCAAACTTTTTCTCATGTCTTGGCATATGTCATTGACAGACACGTCCCGAAAAGAATTCAACGCAAAGACTCTCACCCTCCCTGGCAGACGATTGAGCTGCGTAGGTTGAAGTCGATCAAGAGAGCAGCATTGAGAAGATTTACGAAGTATCGCACGCTTCCTCTGAAACATCACTACGTGAGGCTTAATCACGAGTATCAGCGAGCCAGTCGTCGATGCTTTCTGCGATTTCAACGAGGTATTCAGCGTAACCTTAAACTTCACCCGAAATCCTTCTGAAACTACGTGAACGAGCAACGTAGAGAATCTGGCCTCCCATCGTCAATGGAATTGAACAGTGAAGTCGCTTCCACTCCGCAGGATATTTGTCGCCTTTTTTCTGTCAATTTTGCCAGTGTGTTCACTGATGAGAGACTAAGTGACGACCATGTTTCCCTCGCAGCCAGGAACATCCCACTAAATGGTCAAACGCTGAGTGCAATTGATGTCAACGTTGAGATGATTTCTAACGCTGCAACGCAGCTCAAATCGTCCTTCAACCCTGGACCCGATGGAGTTCCGTCCGTGTTTTTGAAGAAACATATTGCTTGCTTGTTAACTCCACTTCACCGTCTATTCCGGATGTCTCTCTCCAGTGGTATATTTCCATCCTTCTGGAAATGTGCACACATGTTTCCTGTCCACAAAAAGGGAAGCAAACGAGCCGTGGATAACTATCGTGGAATTACATCGCTGAGTGCTGTTTCGAAACTATTCGAGCTTGTTATTATGGAACCGTTGCTCTCTCACAGCAAGCAGTATCTGAGTGCTGATCAACACGGGTTTACTGGCGGTCGCTCTACAACCACCAATCTGCTATGCCTCACATCCTACATTACCGATAGTATGACTGAACGGGTTCAGACGGGCGTTATATATACCGATCTATCCGCGGCGTTCGATAAGTTGAATCATGACATTGCGATTGCTAAACTTGACAGGCTTGGGGTGAGCGGTAATCTCTTGAGTTGGTTCCGTTCGTATCTTACTGGTCGCCAACTTATGGTTGCTTTAGGAGATTGCAAATCAGCTAGCTTCTTTGCCACATCAGGTATACCGCAGGGAAGCCATCTGGGACCGTTGATTTTTCTACTCTACTTCAACGACGTGAACCTGGTTATCGAAGGACCTCGATTAGCATATGCA